ATTTATTGCCTCCAGATATCAAATGCTCTTTATAATATGCACAGACAAAGAGTAAGAAATACTACAACAGGTTTGTGTTACTCAGAAATGCAAAGCATTTCTGATTTTCAGGTGTTTTCAGAATTAATTTGCAGAATCTTCATTCTACAAGATGCATAAAAAATCGGGTAAAGTCTAGCAACATGTTGGTTATTATGCAGTAACACCTGAAATGCAAATACTTAGAAGATATCTCACAATGTTTCGTCTAAGCATACAAGGAAAATGGAGCGGGAAGTGGCTCTATCTGGTAACTGCACCTTAATTCATTTCTGCAGCATGTTCAGAAGCATATAATTGTCTAAGGTATTATCTTTTTTTTCTGCACAAAAGGAACTCAGTTACTTGCAAATTGCAATTCCTGAGCCAATTTCAACATGCTGTGATGCTCTAAGAGGATTTGCAAATTTTAACCATCTCATCCATTAGAAAACATAAAGATCAGCTTGGGTATCTAGACTGAGGCACAGCCGTGCTTGGGCTGACTTACTGTATTCAGACCTTCAGTACCTCAAACACAGACACCTAAATCTCAAGTAGTTTCTAACTACCACAATGGCTGAAACCACAAAATTATTTATTGATTTATTTTACAAAGCAGAGTTAAAATTTAACCCAACCAACCACAGAACTAAAAATAACTATTCATCTCAAAAAAATTTGTTCAATGGGAAAAATGGAAAAACGGCTGTGAAATGCTTCTGGCCACCACCAGTAAAGCTGACTATAAATGCCTGTCTGCATAGGAACTATTTTAATAGTCTTGGCAAATATTCGCAGTTATTGTTAATAGGGGTAAGAACCTTTGAGGTTGCTCAAATTCCAGACCAATATTTCTTAAACCCAAAGATTTATGGCTCCACGCTGTGTGTCATATGTGAAAAAAGTAACTCGTCTCACATTTAATAATACGCAGACTATCCAGATAGGACCTGGTTGAAAGCTACTTAATGGCACACACAGGAAGCCTTTGAGATATGGTAATTGTCACTGAAAAAACCAACAGTGATAGCTTCAAAACCTGGCCAAAATTACACAGTCCTCAGAAATAAAAAAACTCCAAAACAATAGCTTACAATATCTCTTTCAGGTTTCCCCAGTTTCTTTCAGGTTTTCATTGTCATAGGAGCAATAAACTTTAAGGTAAGAGGAAGGAAAAGGCATCTTAAAAGTGTTTGGAGGTGAAAGCCTTCAGCTCCTTTCACTACTTAGGCTTACAATGAGAATTCCAAGACCAGGAAAGCACTGGTAAAGAAAGCTTTCTGCAACAGCAATATTTAAAAAGCCATCTGTTAAGTGGTCTTGCACAACTTTTATGTCAGCAAATGAGTGTCAATAGATATGCTTTTTTAACTGAAAGTTTTCCTAACCCCTAGTTTACTATACTGACCAGCAATATCGAAAGGTGCCAGCAGAATTATGAAGCCCAAGAGAGGCTAATTTAAGAGCAACCAAAAAAAAATCACCTACCTACAATTTCCTTTTCCAGGAGGCACACCATAAAACAGGCCCACTCTGCAACTTCTACACATAACGGATTTTCTCTGTATTTTCCCCAAGAGAAATGTCTCTATCCTTAGAATTCTAAGGGTTGAGGGGGTTAGCACATGCACATACAACACTTGCACATTACTTCCCTCTGCTCTTTGCAGATGAGGGAAAACCAGAATAATCTCAGTGCTTCTGTTGTTGCCCAATGGTGCTGTGAAAAGCATTATTGCTATTGGTAGTAACAAGCCAGGAGCCTTAGGCTAGCTTTACTTTATGCCTCTGTCGCAAGACTTCTAGTCTTGGGCTGTTGTTGGGACCTTGCTATGAGCTCCAAAATGGAGCTTGGTATGAGGTTTCTCTTCTTTCAGTATAGAGTTTAAGTCTGGGATAATAACAGAGGTCCTGGAAATATAGATTATAAACAACTCATCGATGGTCCTTTACTAGTCACTGAAGAAGTTCAAGTTTTGAGAGTTGGGAGACTATTTTACGTGTAACAAGAAAAGGAAGAGCTAAGCATGAAGAATCCAGATGGACAACAGAGCAAGGCACCTGCTGAGGCTTGGAAATAACATTCTTAGGCACCGCACAGTAGTCCAGGGGGCAGATGACAAAGGCTACGAACAGTCTAGTAATACAAAACTTTCTATGAAAAAGCAACATTTTGAATGTGGGTGGTACAATCATCACAGGAATCATCACCACAGGACCAGTGTGGGACTGCCACAGCTACAAGCATGCCTCTTGCTATCCCTGCTTTCTTGAAGGACTCTCTCTCCCTGCCCTAAGCTTTTCCTCTCTTCCACCTGCCTAACTCTTCAAGGATCTTTTGACCTGTCAGCAAAGCATCCAGGGCTACATACAGCTTTTAGCTAGTTGTTTTTCTCTATAGATAGTTAAAAAGATCGCGTGTTGCCTTAATTCTGTTGATAAGCTTATGAAAGAAAATACAAACCAAAATGGCACAGCTCTCTGTTTCTCTAGAGACGTGTTTATAGTAAGCTGTAGTTCTTAGCAACTAAAATTTTTTCCTTAAGTCCAATCATTAGCTAAAAATGTTAAGAAGGTAAAAGGTAAACACGCAGGTAATCCAGATTTCACAGCCAATTTCTGTGAAAGAAAATGACCTTGACTAGGATGCATAGTTCCACTTACAAGAACAGTCCATAACTACTACAGGATAAAAGACCATCGCCATTGCAACACCTGGTAGGAGCACAAGGCCTTGAGAAAGGCATATATGCTTGAGATCTGTATCCGCTGTAGGCAGCATGCATAGAATAAGTGAATTCTATAGAGCAATTCCAGAAGTGTTCTGGTACTGTATTGGAGCAGAAATAGAAGTTTAAGTGGAAACAGTAAGAAACAACCTCCAGGCAGTTTTTGGCCTTTGTAACCAAGGGATGTCACCTAGGAAAGCAGGACCACTGGTAAGAGAACTGTTTTGAGTACACCTGCCTAAAAACAAAAACATAATCATAGAATCACAGAATGGCCTAAGCTGGAAGGGACCTTAGAGATCATTTTAATCCAGCCTCCCTGCCACCAGGGACGCCACCTCTCGACTAGATCAGGCAACACATGGGGACCGAACGGGAATCAAACCCGCAACCTTGGCGTTGTTATACTCTTCTCTTAGGAGTTTGGCTGTTACCAAAAAGGACTTTTATAAGAAAAGTTATAGATGTAAAGCACAAAATAGTTGAAGATCAACGTGTCTGCCTTGCTCTTTAGGTATCTGGAAATCAAAACCAGAAACACACAAAAGGCAGATGCAAGTACTTGTTATTTTGAATTAATACAAAGGCTAGGCACAGGCAAGGACGTATAAAGGCTGAGTGTAAAAATTAATTTACAGTTAGCAAGGAACACAAGTGGCAACACAGAAAGGTTTCATATTAAAAGTAAGAAGAAGGGAAAAGTAGAACTTAAAGGGAGAAGAACTAGCAACATGCTCTATGGAGGACTGAAATACTCAGTTCCTTTTGTCTATTGCCTTCATAAAAATGGTGATAATCTGATCACAAACTAGTATGTATTAGTGCCTCAGGGTAAGCTAAATTTAGTGCATCCTTAGAGAGCTAGATGAACTATCAGTGTTCATTTTTGAAAACTGATTATCTCAGAGGTTAGAGAATACCAGAGGGCTGTAATGGGGAAAACAGAAAATTTATCTTTTAAAAAGACCAAAATCGATGATCCAGGGAATCTGTATATCAGTGAAATTTATATATTAAAGCAAATTATAAAAAACTCCAATTTAAGCATCTAGAAGATATGAAAGCTGTAAAACAAGAACTAATGTGAATTTGTCAGGAACGTGCTTCCATCGAAACAATACAATTTCCTCCTCTAACTGAAGAGCTAACTCTCCAATGCAGTTAGGCTTATCAAAATGTTTTGGTGCTATTCCATGCTACATTTCCATTAGCAAATTCTGGAAAATTAATTATATCAGGACAAAGTGGTTCAAAACTAAAACTCAGTGTCTACATTAACATTTTATTATCTAGGTGCAAAACAAGGGGTCATCATTAATTTAACTGATATCTTAGAAAACACAATAGATTGTATCTATATGGAATTTGCAATGGCCAAGTTAAGTCAAAAGCACTTTGTAAGCCAAAAATTAGAAGTCAGAATTGTCTTGGCAATTGGAAAAATGGTTTAAAAAATAAAAAAATACATAAGAGTGCAAAACAATGTAAGAAATCAAAGTGAGTAATGCAAAAGGGGAAAAGAACAGCAGGGCAGCAATACAGTGGGAACATATCTGGTGTTTATAATTATTGCAAACTAAATATGTATCAACCCTGTAACACTGCCGTGGAAAAAAAAGCATTTTCAAACTGCATCATTCTAATAGGCTATTAACTGTTCTTACAAAATTTGCCTTGCTGTAATCATATGACAGAACACTTAACTGAAGGACTAAATTTTCACAAATAGATTCTTACACATCTGGAAAAATGCATACCAAGCATGGGAAACAACATATATTTTTCTTGAGAAATCTGCTTATTTGTCTGTAGCAGCCCTGTTAGTTCTCTACCTCTATGTACATTACATGTAAATAGTAAATTACTGTTTTGAAAATGTCCTTGAATGTTCATAAGAAAATACTTTGAAATTATATTTTATCTACATTTTCCTCAGCCATAACCATTTTGATATAATATCTGATCATTTAATATTTGAATACATTACAATATTTACACTTTCAGTTTCTTAATGCCTACTTTAGGCTCCTATTTCTCACATTCCTTGTCATGGTTTAAAGGTTCTAGTAACTAAGATCAGGAAGCACTCCTTCGGTGTTCATATAAACAACTGTTGACACCAAAATCAAAAGCTGAAATTAGTATACAAGATGCTAATTAGCATAACAAAAAATTACTGCAATAAAACTTTTCTCAAACCAAGGCATATCAATTGATATACAGAAGCACGCAAACCTGTCATAGTCTTACCATTAATTACTGGGGTATAAACAACAATTCCAACCAAATTAGGATCAGATACAGTTGTGTCCAGAATAAGGCCACCAATACTGAAAAACAAAGTACAGTGCTTAGAATAAGGCAAGCAGACACAGTAATGAGTATCTAAAAACTATTTTAGCAATCTGTCCTAGAACATCTTCAAGCTACAATTTTCTTCTCATCTCTCCCTCCACCTCATTGCCTTGTTCTCAGCTACAGACTAACACCGCTGCAGTTATTTAGATAATAAAATCGACTTCTTGCATAACAAAGGCCAATAGCATTTCAGCCAATCACTCCACTTTTAAGATCCATGACTTTCCTTGGATTAAATAATCTCTTAGATCAGTGTATGATCTTGATTGGAAGCAGCAGCAGACAGAAGAGCTCACCATTTCCTTCACTTCATAGGGTGCACTTCTGCTCAGTCACTGGAACAGGCTACTGCCGGCTCCCCCACTCATTCCCACCTGCCGCTTGACTTTGCAACTTCCACACGTTGGGAATATTAAAGTTTATTCACACTCTGCGTTCTAGAGGCTCCTTAAATGTGTTTTTTTTTCAAGTACGATCAGGTGTAAAGTAAGAAATAAAGAAAACCAGGATGACTATCGTATCAAGACAAAGCAAGGCAAATAGACTTACCTGCTTATAATCATGGCAGTTATAACAGGCTCCCATCCTGAATGGAGAACAGTTCTGGTAGCTGGGTGTTTGGCAGCTATGACAATCCCCATCGGAGTCAGAGCCAAAAAAAAGGCACCAACCAAAGGAGATACATAGTAATATGTCTCTAAAATAATAATACAGAAAAACAAACAAACCTGTATTACTTTCAAGACATCCTTATACATTTTTTTTCTGATTTGGAACTCTAAAATACATTACAAGCTACATCATGCAACTGAGGAATTTTAATAGTCTTTATCGCTACAGAAGTTTCAAATACTGCACTAAACAATACGGTTAATATCTGCTGTCTGTGATCACCGCCTCCCATGTTCTCAAGGACAGAACTATGTGTATAAAGAAGGAATTCTGAAGTGGATTTTTGTATGATGCTTTACCATAAAATGCAATAAAGATGTGGAATGTTGAGCATTATTTTGTAACATATCTACAAAAGAAGAAGAAGAAACTGAGTAGATTGAAAATGTGTTTTGTTTACACACAGATACATAGAATATTTACACCTCCTCCTTTCCAAAGCACAAATAGAGTAATCTTTCCAGAAATAGCATATCTAACTGATGCAACCACAATGTGTAATACTGAGACATTTATATCAGTAGTCAGTTGTTCTATAACCAGTCTGAGTTTGAAAATCCAGAGCCACAATTAATTACATAGAAACACAACTGCAAACACCAGTGGGTAGAATCGTAAATCTGAGCTTCTAGGGCAAACAGCTGCCTCCACAGAAAGAAAACCATTTTTTTTCAGATTAGTTGGATTTACAGTCCCATCCACACACAAACTATTACAGTAGTTCAAGACTTCCTAATTCAACAGTTTGGTAAATAATGGAAAATTTATGCTAATGACAAATATATACATATAAACACTATGCAAACATTGTACTTCTACATATACTTAGCTTTATGATAAATGTGGTCATGTATTTTGGGATAATTACATTTTGTCTAAAGTTCCAGAATTTGGACAAGTCTTAATGCAAAATATATTTTAAATTAACAGGCTGAAGTAGTTAATGTAGAACACACAAACACTTTACCAAAGAAGAATATTTAGTATCTAAAAAAGTATTCTCACCCATGTATTATGGCTTATTACGAAGGCTGCAAATTCAAGCAATTGCTACTTTGATGTTATCTTGGTGGAGCTAAAATTAGTCCTGGAAGAACTGCTATAGAGTTTTTGGAAGTTACTATCCTTCTGCATTGGCTGCTAACAACCTCTGCAGCAGAGCCAGCATACTAAAATAACTGTTTACTGGGCAAGCTAAAAGTTGAAATCCATTAGAATGAGCATGAGAAAAGGCTCAAAATTATTTTTTTCCTTTTCCTATCTAACTGTGCTACAGTATATTATCTCCTTCCCTTGTGGTGCCTCTTTTTCCCTGTTTTTCCTCTTTCTGTGAACTAAGAGGTGGGCCTAACGCAGAGTTCTTACTCAGAAGAGTACAGACAATACATGATTCCTTTATTTCGTAACTATAGTTTTGTTTTATCAAACTTAATAAAAAAGACAAATATGTACTGATGCAAAGTTCTGGAACTACTTATTGCCCTGGCAAATACATCCTTCCCTCCACCTGCAATGAAGGAAGATCCCTGTGTGCCCCAGAATTGGTCACATGGAAAGACATCATTAATTCTACAGCTATTTATTTAAAATTTTGAAACCTCTCCCCTTTTTGCCTCCTGCTTTTTTTTTCCTCTTTTTTCTTCCCAAGACATAAATCATACTGTATCCTTGTTACTTTTTCTTTCTCCCTCTCTGTCTGTTCCTCTGATATGGAACCAAGGTGAGGCATTAGCAGGTACCAGACGCCCAACGGCTGATTTAAAGGTCAGAATGAGAGAACAGCTCTAATGTAGTTTAGTAAAATATAAAAGGGCACAAAATGAGTTCCAAGTCTTTACCACATTTTTGGAGAAGTTACCAATTTCATTAAATAGTAAAGTCTGCTGGTCAGCAAAGGTCCTCTCTTGCAAACATTGAACACAAAATACAGACACAAAGGCAAGCATTACCCTAATTGATCACTAGATTTTGAAATTCTTTCACTTGTACATCAACAATGAGCCCACTGTACTCTTTATTACAGGACTTCTACCAACACAGGAAAGGAAATTAAAGTTCAAAAAGATATGCCTTTTACAATAATTTCTTTTTTAAGCCCAATAACAGCTAAAGATCTCATTAGAATGCATTCATGAAAAAAAGGGAGAGTATTTAACTATCTGCACTAGTCTCCAAGCTTGGAGAGCTAGTCTAAGAATACAGCCCAAGAATTATAAAGAATCAGAGGTAAATTGGAAATACACTACTTCAAAGCAACTGGGAGGTATCTGACACTGTTAACGTTACTGACATGCTTTGTCTTCCCAACTCGGATCCAACATGCACAAGAGATAAATGCATATGTTTAACTGACGTTCTGTAAGGGGAAAAAAAAGGAAAGTTTTGAATGAAGTTTTCAGTCTTTATGATCTGAATCAAATGAGGAGCAACACAGATCTCCCCATTTAATGTACCAGATCTTCCTGGTACATTAATGTTCAGGTTCTTCTCCCGGGCAACTGGTGACAGGATGAGAGGGCACGGCCTGAAACTGTGTCAGGGAAGGTTTAGGTTGGATCTCACTTCTTCAAGGAGAGGGTGCTCAGGCATTGGGATGCACTGCCCAGGGAAGTGGTGGAGTCACCGTCCCTAGAGGTGTTCAAGGAGAGGCTGGATGTGGCACTTAGTGCCGTGGTCTGGCCGATGTGGTGGTGTTGGGTCATAGGCTGGACTTGGTGATCTCAGAGGTCTTTTCCAGCCTCAATAATTCTGTGATTCTGTGATTCCTACTCCAGAACTCTCCCCTCGTTGTGCTGGGGGAACAGGAGCCGGGGCCCAGCAGCGGTCCTGGGGAGCCCTCTAGTGCTCTCCCAGCTACTGAACAAGCATTCACAGGCACAGCTCCTTTGAGGGAGTTGTTAAGATAGAAAGAACTGTTAACCTTGTACTATTTAAATTCCGCGTTTGATAGCTTTGCCATTATTTTTAAAGCATTCAGATGAATTTGTAAGAAACTATATATATGATAGTGGCCAACCAAGACGTTTGATTTGGCCCTAGCCTAGATAAGAATGTTACAGTCTTGTCCTCTGCCTCTTCTGGGTAGGTCGTGAAGCATCCTCTCAAACCAAAGGCTGGGAACAAGTGTGTATAGCTAGGCTAGAGACAAGCAGAAAATTTTTACATAAATAATTTCCCCCCTTCCAGTCTCACTATGAAAACAACTCTTCCACTGCAGAAAGGAGTCAGAAACTTACCCTTTGTTTCAGTACATTTGCATAGTTAGGATAATGAATCATAGGGAAAAACAGTTAATTCAGAACATATTTTAGAGGTGAATCCCACCTTCTTCATTCCTAGCCCATAACCTGTGGGTTTCTGTAGACCATTCCCATTGTGCTTGTTATTCTAGCATTGAGAAAGCAAGGAAACAACAAAAAGAACTAAGAACATTTGTGCTGCGTAAGGCCAAAGGTCTTATCTAGTCGATAATCCATGTCTGACTACAGTCAACAGCTTGTGGAAAGAAAGAAAGAAATGGACAAGTTTAGAGCGATACTTCTTTCAGTGTGATCTGACAGCTTCTGCTGTTGCTTGCCTCAAGGACTTCATCACTCAAGTTTCTGTCTGCATCTGTCTGTTCAGTACTCCTCAATGGATTCCTCTCTGATTAATTTATCCGAAGAGTTTTCTGATATCACTTTGGTCCTCTTAATACACCATGGCAGTAAGTTCCACATCCCAATCATGTATCATGTAAAAAGCTTCTTTAACTTTTTTTTTTTTAGCCTGCTTCTTAACCATTTTATACCTCTCCTGAGCTGAAGCTACTCCATGCTTTTATTCCTTGTTCCTATTTCATGGTGCAAATACATGCATCTTGGAAAAAATGCATTTCCAAGGGCTTTGTGGCGTGCTCTTACTTTAGAAAGACTCTCTGTTTCATAAGAGAAAGAAATACAAAGACACTGAACAAAAACGTAAAGAGCAGAAGCAGTTATTTTAGCGGTAACTGGATAATTACATGTATCACCACAAGAGAAATATTTCAGGAAGAGCACATAGGAAGAAAACAGAGTAACTCTCAGAAACTTACTTGAGCACACTAATCCTTCCCCCTACACACTTGTTGGATCTGCTTTTCAACTGCAGTAGTGGTCTAAAATGTGAGTGGCTGTGACACTGTAAAAGTAGCAAAGGCCCCCCTTCAAACTGGTCCCACTTCTTTTTTTATTCCTCTGAGTTACATCAGGCCAGCTGTAAGTAGAGATGTAAATTTCTGGAAATGCGTGAAAGGAAGAAAGCCAAGTTTCTTTCCCCATCTTCTTTCGGGGGTTGAGTACTTTTTGTCTGTTTTTTTTTTTTAGATTAAAAAAACTCCAAACCACAAGGCATGTTTTAGGAAAAACTGAAATATTAGTAGTAGTTACTCCTTTTAAAAAGATATGATCTGTAGTTTATATAGAGCATAAGAAGCAGTACTAGATATAGTCACAAAATAATACACGTTGCTTATTTACACATTGCTTATTTAGCACATTACCTAAGTTTTGCCTGTGGTTACAATTGAAAAAAAAAAAGGAAAGGAGTAGAGGGAGCTGTTAAAAAGATTAAGACTCAGTACTAATGATTTACGATCTTTGAGTCATATAGGCAGTTATATAGAGAACATTACAATGCAAATACATAAGAAACTAATATTTGGAGGGAAAAGATTTAGGAAACAAAATCACCGGCACTAGCATTGGCTAGAGACACCAAATTTCATGAGTAGAGGCTTCCTCTCTGTTTTTCTCATCAGGAGAAAAGACAAAAGAAAGAGAGCCAGTTAGCTCAGCGGGTTGAGTGTGGTGCTGACAAGAATGACAACACCAAGGTTGCAGGTTCGATACCTACTCGGTCCCCACGTGTTGCCTGGTCTAGTCGAGAGGTGGCGTCCCTGCCCATGACAGGGAGATTGGACTAGATGATCTCTAAGGTCCCTTCCAGCCTAGGCCATTCTATGATTCTAAAAAAATCTGTACCAATCTTCTTTTCACTGTAAGTCTATCAACTTCCTTAAAAGAAGTATTTAAATGATGTATTTTAGAAATAGGTTACTTTATGAGAATATAATATAAAGTATGTAAATATAGTTGTGAAATAAACAAAACAATATAAGTTTAAGAAAAACAAAGAAAATATTAATAATGGCTGATACATTTAAGCTGATATCATGTCAACACTTTCCAAACATGAAAAATCAAACACTGAAAACATAAAATCATTGGTTGAAAACTAAGAAACAAAATGGCAAGTCACACCAAGGTAGCTTGAGTCTTACTAAATAGCATTTCTCACTGATGCTGTTACACAAAACAGCCCAAATTCTTACATAAAAAGGCTTGAAAAGTGAGCATAGATGTAAAGAATATATGTGGTGATATCAACGTGTCTCGCAAACCTCTTATGGACAACACAAAATTTGGCCTATGGTATACTATAATTGTCTACAATTATGGCTTTTAAACACCAGAGACTTTAACTAGTTTCTACAGAAGGAGTCAGCTGCAGTAATAATTTAACTTTAAACATTATTCTGAACATTTTTCTCCTCCTGTGAGGACATTTTTTCACACTTTTTATTTCTTCATGGAGGAAATGAAGAAACAGGAGGAAAAAGACTGATTTTTTTAGTCACTCATTCTCATTTTCCATTCTCTTCTGTGACAATCAAGCACTTCATTCCATCAGCTACTATCCAGGCATGCTTCTAATAATAACTAAAAGCACATTCATTTTTAGCAGACATTGTGATGATGAACTTTCTTCAGTAGTCCGCTCCTTTAAGAGAGTAGAATTTAGATGGTAGAGGTTCTAGAAATCAGAAAAACAGTTTCAAAAGAGCTATAGAAACATGCAAATAACTAGTAGAAGAGAAGAATTGCAGACTGGAGGAAAAAAGTCATTAATAAGAAACATAGTTTGGAGCTGTTTATGTGTAATTCACCTGTTCACAGCTATTAGTGGGAAAGTTATAAACAGTAAAAAACTGTCACCAAGAAGCCAGACAGAATTCATGCACAAAGCAGGATTAGATCATTGCCCTCTGAGGTCAGCAGTCAGCAAAGACCTCTCCATTGCTGCTTCACTATTCAGAGGGGTTATACGTGTTTTCGTCTCTCATGGCAGAACTGCTGTTCCGAAGAAAGCTGTAGCAAAAATAGCTACGTTGGAATACGGTCAGCCAGTTTATATCACATAACACCACAAAGAGAACAGAGGAGAGGAAGGCCATTATTGGGAGAAGCTGGAAGCGACTGTTTCATTTAGTGAAAAGCAGATGGAAACGCTGGTAAAATCAAGCCCAGGCGCACGGAACAGGAGGGAGACGTGGAAGTGTCACACCGGGAGGGAAACAAGAGATAGGAAATCGCTGAGGAAACTGGTATTGGAAGCTGGAGCAGGGAAGATGAGGAAACAAGGAGGTATTGCAATGGAGCTGGAAAGTACTTGGAAGGAATTAGAAGGAAACTCACAATAGTCTGCATAAATCACTTAAAATCATAGCAATCACAAAGCACTTCTTCAAATAGATACTTGTAGACTCGCTAATGTTACTCAAAGTACTTAAATTATTGTTATTTTGGTTTCTGGGCACAGCTGCAGCTCAAGATATATTTGAATGTTGTCTAAAACCACACTCTAACAAAAAAAATTCTCAAAGAAGTACTCCTCTCCCAGCAGCTGACCAAGGCACCCAGTTCAACTCCTTCCCTTCAGTGCAAGGGGAGAAACTTCAAAAGGGCTCGGAGAAGCAAATATTTGATTTAGGGGTGGGCATTCAGGAAAACTTGGATGAAAATAGTTTCCCTCCCTCCCAAGAATGCAGACTAAATTCAGCAACTAGAGTTTCTAATCTACATGTAGATTGACTGTGATACTGTGAAAGTTTTTCAGATAGTAGTAGGTTGTGCCAAGATTGTGGTTAGTGATTTGTATTGTCTTAAAAAACGATCATGGTGTAATGCTGCAACCCAAGATTTACCATTCAGTGGCATAAACGTTGACAAAAAAGTCAGTCAAACTAAAATGTTTTCTAAATCTCTCCCTCCCTGGCTCCCCACCACTGCCTAGTCCAAAAAAGGTTCCTAGGAAGACATGCAGACTTAAAAACAGACTTACCAAGGCAAGTGTAAAGACCCTGACTTATCCAAGCTAGTATAGCAAGAGTGATAAGATCTCCAAAACTTGCTGCTATAGGAGTGGCAACATTGTCGGGATTAATACCAGTCTTCTTGGATCCAACAATAACTCCAACCATTATTATTCCTAGGTTCAACAAAGAAGACAGTACAGTAACCATATCTACTGCTGTAACTCAACAGAAAATTCTAAGATAAAGGCAATTTCGAATTTGATAAATAAGTCTGTGCTTTTTTCCCAGGGTGATTGTTCTTCCCACCTGACTAATGTCTGCATTTTTAAATTTTAGCAATTTGTAAAAATTAATTATATATTAAAAAAATACAGTAAGAATACACACACAAAAAATGATAATTATCTGTACCATGAATAATTTTGCTCATTATTAGAATTAGCACTATGGAAATTACAAATCACCCATTTCCTGAAGAGAAAAATATGCAGTGTATCTTTTTCTACACCCTATTAATTTTATCTGACTGAAAAAACCGCAAGATTAAATACTTCAACATCTGATATTCTACATAACCTCCAGTCATGAACTTACCATCAAAAGTCAAGAAGCTACATCATAAATTAAAAACTAGACAACATATAAAAATGTTACTTGCTATACAGTTAAAACACTTTAAAATGAGGATCTTAGTTTCTGCTGTCTTTTTTTTCCCTATAAACAGCAACACTGACTTTTTAAGAGGCATTTCCCTGCAGAATGATCTTTGGCGTAACTTGAGCAATTTCTCTCTCATCATATAATGCACATAAGAGCTTCAATAGTGTATATAACCCTTTATGTTATTTTAAAGATTTTTTTAAAAATTAGCATTATAATTTTTATATATTTCAGCAATATTATGCATTGTAGGCTACACTGGAAGTTCACTTTCAGAGAAATGGCCTAGTTACACTCCGTTAAATTCTCAAAAGAAAGAACTGAAATGATCCTGTAGGATCACAATATTTCAAAAGCACCTGTTTCACATGTGGGAGGATGAAGCTTAGAAAATAATTTCCTGTGCTGGCTCATCACCAGATAACAGCCAAAGCTTCTCTTCAAGTCCAAATTATACATGAGAAGTGGAAAAAAAGCATTTATGTTCCCCAGTTCTCGTGCTGCTCTTAGTTCTGCATATGATCAAACTCAATGGTTTTTTAGTCAGTAAAAAAAAATTAATGTGCTCTTAATTCCACATAAAACTTTAACAATTTTGTAATTTTTACCTAAGTAAGTAAACTTAGTGAAAAAAGGAAGTTAAACATTTTACTTGACTTACTATTATTAAGACTACTGACTATGTATTTTCATTAAGAATACGTCGCAAGTAGAGGTACTTCTCTCCTCCTTCATGTCCCCAAACGTTCTATGATTCTATGATTAGGTACAGTATTGTATTGTTAAATGTTTCCTGACAATTGGGAAGAGAAGATTAAATTCATCACACCATATGGCTCCAGACAGGCATTGGCACTGTTTGGAGAGGGAGACTTGAACTTGGTCCAAACCCTTCATGTAACGAGCCAGTTTGTTCAGTTCAGACACAAAGCGGCGCAAAAGCTAAGTGGCTGAGCAGCAGGGTAACCAGGAAGGTCAGATCCAGCTGAGCTAACATATGAGCTCACTTGAGCTTAATTACAAATTAAGTTTTACCTGTTTAGCACTAAGAATGTATTTCATACATTAATAAATATCAAAAGCAGGGGAGAAAAGTTCTCCATTATATTAGGTAAGAACCCCCAAACTTTTCGGGTTTAGATCTGTTCAGGAGATCAATTTGTTTTTCGAAGGACATGACAGGAGAGAAATGCAATCCACAGGCCTATATGGACACTGCAAAAGGGCATGCTATCCTCAGCTGTGTTTCAGCTGTATTATACCTTAGTGGATTTAAACTTTGAAGGAATATCAGCGTAATGTACATTCAGCATCCACAGAAAACTAAATAACTGTAACAAGTATACTTTTTTTTACCTTGTAAAAGAGATGCTATGAAAGCAGTTGCTACGCTGCTAGAACAGAGAAGGACTGAATGATCAAAACGGTATTTGCCCTCTGGAATCCAGCCCAATATAACTGCTGCAACTGCTGCCAGAAAACCAACTACTGTTGCCTGAACCTGGAAGAGAAAAAGGTGAACAATTCTTAAAATAATTGATAGACTTAAGAGGACTGCAGAATGATTTTCTGATATTCTTTCCTCCTGTCTACATTTATTTGCAAGGTGTAAAGGAAGCATGCTTATTCATTTTGTAGACATTATGATAACCCTGCACAATCAAGAAGAAAAATCTTACACCAGCAGAAAAGGCTTTACCAGCATGTCAGAGACTCGAGGGTTACAAAAGCAAAATCAGGGAAAACAGCTGAGGATTTACCAGGAGCCAAAGCTGAAATGCCTAAAGAGGCTCCTAAGCCACTTAAAACAGCATAAATACTTCACCTGCTTTTTGTGAATATTGTACTATATGAATATGAAGCAGTTCTTAATCTTAAGTAATAGTTTCTTTGGAGAACAAACACTCCTTTTCTTAAATGATGAACCTATTTAAAATATTGTTTATTATCCAAAAAGCTCCATTACCTACTTCCTTTAAACATTGAATCCAATGCAAATACAAATGAAAACATTTGAGAGGTCAAATTTAAAAGGCTTTGCCAAATCAAAAATTTTTCTCTAATCATCCTCAGATCCTCTCTCAGAAAAATTAAAAAAAAAAAACCTTTCGTACAGACACAAAGGATACTTTACCTCTTCTTCTGATAAATACAAGCCCATATTGACTTAAAGAACTACACTGATCAAAAAAAATCAGTCATGCAAACTTTGTATAATAAATATGAGCCAGTGTATAACAAGTTTCCCATTAACACTGTCCATCTCCATAATTAACCATGTTTCTGACAGACTTTTCGATAAATTAGCTCACTTAACAAGAGTCAACCAGATAAGTCCACTATATATACCTGTTTTAAGGCCAAATTGCCAATTATTAGGTTCCATTTCTCAATGGGAGAATCCATTTTTCCAATATTTACCTGTCAAAATAACAAAAAGACAATTTAGGGTAAACTTAAATTACTTGAAAATGCATTAGGAAGGCAGAAAAGCACAAATCATTCAACCCATACCAAAAAAAAGAGACATTTTCAAAAGAAGTTAAAACTCAGATATATTTTTAGCAAGTCAAACATTGCTGTTGATTTTAAATTGTACCTAGAGTATCCATCCAAAAGTAGCTAAGCTCAGTGCAGTATTACACAGTAACCTGATTAACATTAGCTTATTGTGCAAGACATACCAGCCACTTACAGGAATGTCCAAGGACCACCGGCGATTACATCAGTGACTGGAAAAGGAAGCTTATCAATGTCCAGCCACTTCAGAAAGAAGTGTGGATACATGTGTGTGTGGGTACACACTCTCTCATGCAAGTGTGTTAACTGATTGCAATGAAATTACCTGCACAGAAAAATTACACGTGCTTACAGAAGATCAGAAACCATATTGAATACTGTTCAACATTCTAACTTTTCATTTACCCAACACAGGTAGAGACTTATAATGCTCTGAGTAAGTTCAGTCCTAAGGCAGTAGCTGGAAAGACAGCAAATAAATTATTCTAAGAAATGAAAAACTGCATACATACTCTTTTATAATGTACTTCCTACTTCTACTTTTTTCTCTTTCTTTTTGAGTTAGAGGACAAGATCTGCAGAACAACACATACCACTGCAGTGTGACTACTGAAATGTCCAAGGCCAGGCTGGATGGGACTTTGAGCAACCTGGTCTAGTGGGAGGTGTCCCTGCCCATGACAGGGGGGTTGGAACTAGGTGATCTTTAAGGTCCCTTCCAACTCAAACATAATAATAGAATCATAGAATGGTTTAAAATAACTTCCTTTTTGAGAGAACTGAACTATTTTTTATATGCTGATCGTACAGTGTAGTGTGTTTTTTTCCATAGAATACTAATTTATAACATAATTCTCCAAACACAGAATGTCTTCATGTATATATTTTGCATCTTTTGACAATTAATTTCTAACTGGTTTTACTTCCATTTCTTGGCCATTTTGTTCCACTTTGTGATAGTGACTTTCAAGGAACAAAGTATTAAAAGAAATGCTAACTTAAAAACTTAGAAACCTAATAAGACACTTTATCTCAAGCTACACTATAAATATTTTACAGTGTTCAAAGTGTTCAAGGCTCTGCAAATACATGCATTAAGTTTAAATATTACAACAATATTTAAGGGAGTGCAGATAAGAACCTCCTTTGCATCCTTCTTAAACATATATGCTAAATAAATGAAATGGCAGGCTATGGAGAGCTTAACTCTTTTTCTCCTTTAAAGAAGTTTTGGAAAAGCAATCTTGCAAAATGCTTAATCCAGCCCAAAAATGAGCTAGTGTCAAAGGGCATACTTCTCTCCCCTACTACCAACAACACATTCATGTTTCCTTTCTTGAACCAGATACACAAACTCCACAAGTGAGTTCAAAGCAACATAAACTCGCCTGTTGTTTTTTCACAGAGAAAAAAGGGATCACCTACAAAATGATCTGATCGATCACACGCAACCATGTAAGGATGCACAAACGCTCTTAGGGTTGGGAAGGGAGAAAAAGAGCAGGACCACTCCTTTCAGCTGAAGATTTCCACACAGATCAAGTTTATTGTGATACTGTGGAATAGATGGACCTAAACAAAATGTTTGTGAAGTCATATTGCTAATGCCTAACCCTGATAACAGACAGTCAAAACAAGTGCCTGCCTAAGTTTACAGGGATGACCAGATGAGTGGTGTTTTGCTGCCCATTGTTGTTTTTTTTTTAACTTCCTCTTAAAAAATCAATGAGAGTGACCAAAGCTACAGAACAAAGCTGAAGACTACAAACCACACAATATAAATATTGTGCTTGAATAGGCAGTTGACCTCAGTACATCTCACATAGTCGTGCCAGCACCGCAGTGGGTGGAAGGAGTCTGCCTTACATTACATAGATTTTTGACACTGTCTCCCAAGGCATCCTCACAGCCAAGCTTAAGAAGTGTGGGTTGGATGATTGGACAGTGAGGCGGATTGGGAACTGGCAGAAGGACGGAAATCAGGGAGTTGTGGTCAGTGGGGCACAGTCTAGTTGGAGGCCTGTGGTTAGTGGTGTCCGCCAGGTGTCAGTACTAGGTCCAGTCCTGTTCAATAAATATATTCACCAATGACCTGGATGAAGGGATAGAGGGTACCCTCAGCAGGTTTCCTGATGATACAAAACTGGGACGAGTGGTTGACATGCCAGAAGGCTGTGCTGCCATCCAGCATGACCTAGACAGGCTGGAGAGCTGGGCACGTAGAAACCTAATGAAATTCAGTAAGTGCAAGTGTAGAGTACTGCATCCGGGGAATAACAACCCCATGGATCGGTAAAGGCTGGGGGCTGACCTGTTAGAGAGTAGCTCCTGAGAAAAGGACCTGGGAGTCCTGGTAGACAATAGGCTGACCATGAGCCAGCAATATGCTCCTGTGGCCAAGAAGGCCAATGGCATCCAGGGGTGTATTAAGACAAGTGTGGCCAGAAGGTCAAGGAAGGTTCTCCTCCTCCTCTACTCTGCCCTGGTGAGGCTTCATCTAGAGTAGTGTGTCCAGTTCTGGGCTCCTCAGTTCAAGAAGGACAAGGAACTACTGGAAGGAGTCCAGCACAGAGCCACTAAGATGATGAGGGCACTGGAGCATCTTCCACACAAGGAAAGGCTGAGAGAGCTGGGTCTGTTTAGCCTAGAGAAGAGGAGGCTGAGGGATGTCTCATTTAAAGAGCAGATGTCAGGAAGATGGGGCTGGACTCTTCTCACTAGCGTCCAAGAGAAGAAGGCAAAATGGTCACAAACTGCAAAACAGGAGGTTCATCCTAAACATGAGAATATAATTCTTTACTGTGAGGGTAACTGAGCACTGGCACAGGCTGCCCAGTTGTGGAGCCTCCATTTCTGGAGACATTCAAAACGCACCTGGACTTGTTCCTGTGTGACCTACTGTAGGTGATCCTGCTCTGGCAGGGGGGTTGGGCTGCAGGGTCTTCAGAGGTTCCTTCCAACCCCTGACATTCTGTGATTAACATTAACATCAAAGAGGAGTATAACTATGCCCTGAGGTAGATTAAAAACACAGTCTTGAGACAGATTTAGTGAAATGACTGATTCTAAAGTAGAGGAGAAATTCATAGAATGATAGAATCATTTTGCTAGGAGACGACCTTTAAGATCATCAAATCCAATGATTATCTAACTCTACCAGGCCCACTTCTAAGCCATGACCCTGAGCACCACCAGCTAGATGGCTTTCAAACACACCCAAGGAGGGCAAGTTAATCACTTTCCTGGGCAGCCTGTTCTGATCTTTGATGACCCTTTCAGTGTAGAAGTTTTTCATAACGTCTAACCTAAACCTTCCCTTCCTGGTAGAACTTGAGGCCATTTCCTCTTGTCTTATCACTTGTTTCTTCGGAGAAGAGACCAACACCCACATCACTACAACCTCCTTTCGGGTAGTTGTAGAAAGTGATAAGGTCTCCCCT